CAAGGTAAGATACAGATAGATAGGCCCTGTTCAAGGTAAGATACAGATAGATAGGCCCTGTTCAAGGTAAGATACAGATAAATAGGCCCTGTTCAAGGTAAGATACAGATAAATAGGTCCGTTAAAGGTAAGATACAGATAGATAGGCCCTGTTCAAGGTAAGATACAGATAGATAGGCCCTGTTAAAGGTAAGATACAGATAGATAGGCCCTGTTAAAGGTAAGATACAGATAGATAGGCCATGTTCAAGGTAAGATACAGATAGATAGGTCGGTTAAAGTGATAGTTTGATATAATTTCTGATTTTTTTATGTAATGGTATATATATATATATGTTTACCGATGATAATGGTACGGAATTTTCGCCGGGGTCAACATTTTAAAATCGTGCCTAGGGCGACAAAATACCTCAAGGCAGTTGGCCATGCGATAATGAGTATATATATAACTCAAGGCAGTTGGCCATGCGATAATGAGTATATATATAACTCAAGGCAGTTGGCCATGCGATAATGAGTATATATATATAACTCAAGGCAGTTGGCCATGCGATAATGAGTATATATATATAACTCAAGGCAGTTGGCCATGCGATAATGAGTATATATAAAAACTTGTTATTTTTCTACATCACGGTACCATTTGTAGGGGCAACATCTAGTATCATGTTAATAAAAAAATGATTAATTAATTTATTGTTAAAGTGAGTTCTCTATCTATATATATAGTTAGTAATTAATATGTAGTTATATGAAAAATAAAAATTAATTACTATTTGATATTTAGACTTTGGCGATTATATAGGTTTGTAAACAAGACAGCGATTCATAACCAATCGTCTAAACGTAGCTACTTAGTTTGTTTTATTTTCGTGTAACGTAGAATACCAATACACTTTAGTTTCTGTTTTATTTTCGTGTAACGTAGAATACCACTACACTTTAGTTTCTGTTTTATTTTCGTGTAGTGTAAAATACCAATGCACTTCAGTTTCTGTTTTATTTTCGTGTAACGTAGAATACCATTACACTTTAGTTTCTGTTTTATTTTCGTGTTATATAGAATACCATTACATTTGCAATTATTTCTGTCACCTCAACACTATATTATGTTGAAGCTAATGTAAACAAGTACTGACGTGTGTGTTTTTTTTCACCAATGCTTAATTCTGTTTCTTTGTGCTCTACTAGGAGAAAAGCCTCATGCTTGTGACGTGTGTGGTAAAGGATTTAGCACGTCCAGCTCTTTGAACACTCATCGTCGCATACACTCTGGTGAGAAACCTCACCAGTGCCCTCAGTGTGGTAAAAAATTTACTGCTAGCTCAAACTTGTATTATCATCGCATGACGCACAACAAGGTAAGCAGATTTTAAACCCTTTTAACCATTTCTTCTAGACCACATGTAATTAAGAAATTACAGCACGAGATCTTACGTTTCTCATTTACACGTGGGCCTCCGACTCACAGTCTCAAAAATTTCCTGAATCTCCATTTCATCGAATTGAGCAATTATGCATGACGAGCTCTCTCAGTATTGGCAACACAAGTATTATAATAATATTAACTACACGTGGTGTTTGAGTAGAATACTATGTGGTGTGAAACGTCTAATAATTGTTACAGATTTATTAGCGAATGTGAAATCTCTCTCTCTCTCTCTCTCTGTCTGTATCGGCAACGCGAGTATTTTAATAATATTAAACACGCATTATGTTTGAGTGGAATGAAACGCCTAATTATTGTTCCACTGTGGGAAATATCGGTGTAGCAATACAAGTATAATAGTAATAATAACTACACGTGATGTTTGAATGGAACGTCGAAAGATCGTTCCAGTGTGGGAAATATCGGTGTAGGAATACATGGATAATGTTAACTACACGTGATGTTTGAATGAAATACGGTGTAGAACAAGATGAATCGGAGAGATTGGATACCCTGGTCCCGCCGCAAAATTTTGGATCTTTGCTTCACAATGTTCGCCTGAAATCTGGTCCTAATCACATTTGACACAGTTATTGTCAACAAACTGTGAAAATGCCCTATATCTCCATCATAAAAATGTTTCAAAGTGATCCGGAATATGGATCTGGACCAAATTTGGGGAGGATCGTCCTATGGGGTATTGCATTTGGGTCCGTATGTATTTAAGTATGTCCTCGCGCGTATCTCGGAAAAAATAAATCGGTTTGCTTGAAATTTTTACAGGAGATAGGATGTCTGTCCCGTGTACAAATGTCAAGCAAGTCGGTTTATTATTTTTATCATCATGCGATTAACACATTGAACGTGGGTGTGGCATACAGTCAGCAAAACTGTTAGATCATGAGTGGGTGTGGCATACAGTCAGCAAAACTGTTAGATCATGAGACGAAGGTACTTACATCCTCGCAGTCGAGCTAGCGGGACCAAACTTGGCAGGTCCGTACTGCATACAGAGTATATCCATGTTTCAAACCGTGTTTATACCCCCATTCACAAGCTAGCGGGACCAAACTTGGCAGGTCCGTACTGCATACAGAGTATATCCATGTTTCAAACAGTGTTTATACCCCCATTCACAAGCTAGCGGGACCAAACTTGGCAGGCATGCTCAGCTACCGCGGGCGAGTGTACTAACAGGGGTTTGTCTCGGTTACGAACGGAGTAAGTTATATATAGAAATAATCGGAATTAATGGAGGATGTTGCTCCGTGCACTGGGGTCTCTGTGAATCATGAAGGGACCTTCGACCCCCCAAGTAGGGCGTGGGTATTTTACCCTAATCAGTAGAATAAGCTGTTAACAATTCTAAGTTTGAAAAATGGTTTCTCAAATTACAATACAGCTAAGTAATTTTGTTGATCATTTCACCCTAATATATTGACCAATGCTGACAGGTTTAGGTAAATAAATATAATTTAAAACAAATAAAAAAATGTTTCTAATCAATATATATATATTTTTTAGCTTTAAACTCGAAATTTCCAAGAATTTTTAGAAATTTAAAAGAAAATGTTCGAGCACTCATTTGTTCTCGATATTTGTAAGAAACACAAAACCAGAAAGAAAATCGGGAAGTATTAAAGATGTAAATAAAGAAAACTGTTCTTTAGTTAGTTCACTTAAGTGACAAAAGGTTAAAAAAATCAAACTGGGGCACTCGCTTGTACTCAATGCTGAATAAAATCCTACCTAACTTACCCGCAAATCATGAAATGAAACTTTTTCACACTGCGATGCTCGGTGTACTCAATGCTGCATAAAATCCTACCTAACTTACCCGCAAATCAAGAAATGAAACTTTTTCACACTGCGATGCTCGGTGTACTCAATGCTGCATAAAATCCTACCTAACTTACCCGCAAATCATAAAATGAAAATTTTTCACACTGCGATGCTCGGTGTACTCAATGCTGCATAAAATCCTACCTAACTTATCCGCAAATCCTGAAATGAAACTTTTTCACACTGCGATGCTCGGTGTAGCCCTCTCTCGGACATGAACCAAGATAATTTAAAAATAAGGTGTGAAAAATCAATTTTAGTTTGTAGACAAAATATGAAAAAACTTTAAAATTTTCTTTCAAAACGACTTTAATATAAAAGAGGTTGGTTTCTTTGTTGGAGACAGAATTTCGATCCAATACTGTGGATTTTCTTCGGCAGGTTGTCCAGTATAAGTCCGTTTTATTAACTGTTATTGTTGTTGTTTTGGAGTTAAGCACAAAGCTTTCTTTCAAAACGACTTTAATATAAAAGAGGTTGGTTTCTTTGTTGGAGACACCATTTCGATCCAATACTGTGGATTTTCTTCGGCAGGTTGTCCAGTATAAGTCCGTTTTATTAACTGTTATTTTTGTTGTTTTTGAGTTAAGCACAAAGCTACACAATGGGCTATCTGTGCTCTACCCACCACGTGTATCGAAACCCGGTTTCTAGCGTTGTAAATTCGCAGACATACCGCTGTGCCACAGGGGGGCTTTCTCAACTGATCTTCCTACTAAGCGTGACTTTCAGAAAGGGTTTTCGTGATGTAAACTTAAATAACTTGTTCCTCGGTGAAATATCCTAAAAGAGGTCGATGGTACATTTACTAGCTTACAAGGCTAACTCCGGCGCTCAATTTCCAGTATTGTGTAACATTCTAAACTACAATATAGTTTCGATTCACTGTTACGAAACAAGTTTCAACACTGCCACGTGCCCTCTTTGGTTCGTCTTTAGTGGATTGAAGAAAACACGTAAAAGTGTGGAAACACGTTTACATATATATTTGGAGTCCTGTAATAGTGTATCTAAGCTTTAATTTAAGTTACTTTACACGTTTTTGTGCATTTACCTACCGTTCTAAAATCACTTCTAGAGATAAATACACAGAAACTTACCGAAAACAATACCGAATATATATATATATATATAATGACAAAACGTGTGTTTGTTTGCACCTTAACTCCTCCGAGCCTATTGAGCCAGTCTCAACCCAAATTTGTATATAAACACTATGAACCATGAGAATATCCTGAGTGAGTCAAAATTGAACTTCTATTTTGAAAAGCCTGTTGGTTAATTACTCCCAGCCTATCGAGTCAATCTCGAATAGTCTTGGCAGGTTGACTCTTTAAACAATGCTGAATATTCTAAAGAGATTCAAGATCAAAGTATGAAGGTTGCTGGATTGTTTCTCAAACAACCATGAGTTTCTCATGCTCAAAGAGATGTAGGATGTTCAAGGGTGGGATCATCTCAAAATCTTTAATTGTTGGTAGATGGAAAGTAAACTGCAAATGTTGTTTATGAAGAAGCTTTGTTGTAATTTTAAAATCTTTAATTGTTGGTAGATGGAAAGTAAACTGCAAATGTTGTTTATGAAGAAGCTTTGTTGTAATTTTAAAATTTTGAAATAAAGTTTATGTTCAAGTTATTAAAATTACATTGTTTTAATTAAGTTTAAGCATTCCTTGTCAGTTGACGGGTATTTCAGTGAATACATCATTTTCTTATTGTGCACATCATAAGTTACAAGTACATGACGTGTAACTGAAAACCACATTTTCTATTCTATTCTTCTATAAAGTAATGAGAATATACTTGTACAAGTAGCTGATAAATGGCCTTTAGAGCATGAATTACAGTCAATTGTAAGTGTAATTTTTATAGAAGAATAGAATAGAAAATGTGGTTTTCAGTTACACGTCATGTACTTGTAACTTATGATGTCCACAATAAGAAAATGATGTGAAGTAATGAGAAGATACTTGTATAACTAGCTGATAAATGGCCTTTACAGCATGAATTACAGTCAATTGTAAGTGTAATTTTAACAATGATCTTTTACAAGTTAAACCTCATATAAACCTGTTAATACCTATAAATACCAAATATATATATATTTCACGGTGTTTTAAGTGGAATGTTTTAGTTTGTGGTAAAACCTCATGTTGTTGTTGTTGTCAGTGGTGGTTTTAAAGCAAAGTCACACTGGGCTATCTGCTCTGTCCATTGGATTTTAGCGTTGCAAGTCCATAAACTTACCGCTGTATTACCGGAAGATAAACTTTATGTTAAGGCAAATATTAGTACAATGGTTGCATTGGTTTAACTTCACTGTTTCATTGTGATCGGTAAAGGGATATGTTTTGACTTTGATGTTGAATACGCAAGAGTACGGGGCCACTGGAACTTCTCTGAAAAAGGATACATATTTAGTAAGTTCCTTGAACTTGAGAATATGTCACCATGCCTTCCATATCAGTTTGCACATAATCGTTTTATTAGAGGGAATGATACCGTCAAGTACTTGGTATAATCCAAGTGCTTTTCCCGCTGTCACTGACTTCTATAGGCTGTAATAAATCAGTCCATCAGGGTTGTCAAAGCCTCCCTTCCCTGCAGCGTCCACCATACCTGGCTTGGCCACTATAACCTGGGCGTGGAACCAATAGGTTGAGAAGCTGTAAGACATTCAAACTATCTGTGTCGTACTTTATGGGCTACAGTTACAAATACTTGTCTCGTTTTTAGTTGCCCTAACTGCCACTCTATTGGTGTTGTGTCTTTACCTTAGAGATACCACAAACGTACTAAGTGGTAGTCACGGTGATATCGTGGCATCTGTAACGTTTTGGATTAGAAGCTGAGATAAAAAGAGCGACATTGTTGGCAAGACAGAGCTAAAGCTGATAACTGACACTGAAGAAAACGCCAGTGTTAAAAAAGACGCTTTTTTTTTCGTCCAAAAAAAGAGAGAGAGAGAAGAACGGTTATTTTATATACAAGTGTAGCCTAATGAATTGAGGAAAATCTTATGGAGAGCGGAGTTCAGTATATTCAACCACATTGTTTAAATACACATGTACTGTTGTATCATAAGCAGGATCTAAAGAAAAGTCTCTCCACAGACTAGCCGCTCGTTTCAATATTTGTAGCTACTAAGGTTAACTTTGAACTACTGGCCAGAGGGAAATCAGCCAGCCATCAGCCATCATTATAACACGCCCACAACACTATGAGATGGAAATATTGTTTAGTATTGGACAGATTCGAACCTGGTTCGCCAGGTCCAAAAACCAGAATTCTACCACGAGGCCAACTTGCACCCATATATATATAGTAACATGTAATGCAGGGCCAACTCGCACACACATATATATGGTAACATGTAATGCAGGGCCAACTTTGCACCCATATATATAGTAACATGTAATGCAGGGCCAACTTGCACCCATAAATATATAGTAACATGTAATGCAGGGCCAACTAGCACCCATATATATAGTAACATGTAATGCAGGGCCAACTTGCACCCATAAATATATAGTAACATGTAATGCAGGGCCAACTAGCACCCATATATATAGTAATATGTAATGCAGGGCCAACTTGCGCCTATATATATGGTAACATGTAATGCAGGGCCAACTTGCGCCTATATATATAGTAACATGTAATGCAGGGCCAACTAGCACCCATATATATAGTAATATGTAATGCAGGGCCAACTTGCGCCTATATATATGGTAACATGTAATGCAGGGCCAACTTGCGCCTATATATAT